TGAATGGTACGTTCCATTAGAGCCCAGGTGGGACTGCTTTGTTAAGTAATCAATCACAGGTTGAATAGAGACTGAAGCCGCCACCCCTGCCTACACGGTTCGCAGGCTACGGATTCAGGCCCAGGCCGACAAGATGAACAAACCGTAGCAACTCTTCAAACTTCTAAAGTCCGGTGGTTCTATACGTATCACCTGCTTCAAAAAAGCTAAAGCTAAACCTATCCTTGTAACAGGCCCTGAAGGCCGATAGGGTTGTGAGACGTCGAGGCTCCCATATTTTCTAGATAATCGGCTAACAGATGGTGGTGAGGTTGTCAGTCTTACGCGCCGGTCGCCCTTTACCCCCAGGAAGATTCCTAGTACTTATTTCCTTTAGAGGCTGAGTCGACCCAAGGGCCACAGTGCGGCTGGAAGGATTAGGTCAACTGAAAAAATCCACTTCACCTGGACTCGAACCCACGACCTTCCGGCTTGTAGCATAGTGCCTCAACCAACTATGCTACTGCGTGTCCCACCATCTGCTTTAACATAAGGTATTAAAACACTGCATTCTGCCCACACAGTGTATGTGTGTTCGGTACAATTCCCACAGCAAAGAGCGATCGTTTCCCTAAACAGTATTAACTGGCCGATATTGGAAGCAGATATGTACCCTGCTTCTTAGACGTACGAACTGAATTTCCGTAAACAATATGTCGAAGAAAGTCAGTATTTAAAGGGTTAAAAAGTGATGATGTATCGTCGTTTCAATTTCACAAAAATTTCAAGGAGTTTCTTACGAAATTGACCTAACTTCCTGCAGAGTAGTCTACACTTCGATCCAATTCAGTGTTGTTCAGCCCTTCCGCCTGTGTGAAACACTAATCCCTCAGATGGTTACGAATTTAAAAAGCGCTGCATAACGCATATTTGAAGTTACGTACACATGCGCAGACGTTGCCTACATCCCAGACAACTTGGCTTTCTCTCTCTCGGACCTAATGCTGTGGCTACATAATGCTTGGGCAGGAGGTAGCGTAGTTGGCTGAGGCACTATGATACAAGCCGGAAGGTCGCGGGTTCGAGTCCTGGTGAGACGGATTTTTTTTTCAGTTGACCTAACTCTTCCAGCCGCACTGTGGCCTGGGGTCGACTCAGCTTCTAACATAAATGAGTACCAGGCATCTTCCTAGGCGGTAAAAGGAGACCGGTGCGTAAGGCTGACAACCTCACCGCCATCTCTGAGCCGATTTTCGAGAGAAACTGTGGGAGCCTCGACGTCTCACAACCTTACTGGACTTCAGGTCCTGTTACAGGGATAGCTTTACGTAATTTTTATTACTTAAAGTCTGTAATCTCTCACGTAAAAAGTGGCAGACTTTAAGTACAGGTTCTCCCCGCAACAATGCTCGGGAAGTTCCAGACGAACAGTGAAACAATGCCGATACATGAAAATCAAATTTACTCTGTTTAAAGGAAGTAAATTAAAACTACATAATCTAGTTTAAAAATTCGGGCTTTTTAGAACAAAGTGGTGAGGAGAATTTTTGGACCAAATAGAGAGTAAGTAACAAGAGGACGAATGAAAATTACATTATGAGGAACTTAATAACCTGTGCTCTTTGCCTAACATCATTAGCTGATCACATCTAGGAGAATAAGATGAACTGTGCATGTAGCATACATACGAAAATCGCAAAGTATTTCAGTCGGATAATTACACTGGGGCTAGATTAAACTGGCTCATTGTATTCCACTAGAGGGTTCTTGTGAACATAGTGAAGAACCTTCTTGTTCCGTAACATTCGGCAGATCTCAAACAGAACTCTACTTCATACTGCCAATTGGTTAGTCTAACTTGTATTAGGCATCTGTGTGGGATGAAAGGTCAGCGTGGTAACTCAACTGTTATGTCCCTGTTCTACATTTGATGAACTTGGCGGGTAGGTGACAGGGTAACCGGACTGACCTTTAAACAAACTTATACCCAAATTCTCCCTTCAAAAGTTAGCTCGAATATGTACCCACAGCTTCCAGGAAATGAGTCGATGCATTTGGCACATCATTGGTTAATACATTGTAGGAGGTACAATTATGCACGGGAGACTGCCTGAACCTATACGAGTAGGAATGTTATAACTGTTCATTAGTAGCTTACTAAAAAGTAAAAAAAAGTAAAGGTATCCTGTAACGAGCCATTGAGACCCATAGGGTTGAGATGTTGAGGTTCCCACATTTTCTAGACAATCGGCTCACAGATGTCGGCAAGGTTACCAGCCTTACGCGCCGGCCGCCCTTTACCCCCAAGAATATTCCTGGTACTCATTTCTGTTAAAGGTTGAGTCGACCCCAGTGCCTTAGTGCGGCTGGAAGGATTTGGTCAATTGAAAAAAATCCAATGAACTCAACGAGACTTGAACCCACGACCTTCCGGCTTGTAGCACAGTACCTCAACCAACTACGCTACCGCGTGCCCCTCATTAGTAGCTATTTTTTTAATTCGCTTAGTGGGGGTGGAGGCCAACTGGGTCCACTCGGCACGGCGGCCACTGATTGGCCTATTGTAGCCTGTAGCTGATTATGATGATAGAGAATTTGGTGGAATGAAGACTGGCAGGGGAAACCGAAGTACTGGAGAAAAAAACACGCCCCAGCGCCACTTTATTCACCACAAATCCCACTAGACCAGACCCGGGATCAAACCCGGGCCGCCGCGGTAGGAAGCCAGCGACTAACCGCTTGAGCTATGGCGCGGCCTCATTAGTAGCTTACTTCAGTTTGTAAAAACTAGCTGATCTTGGCTAGGGTAATATAAATACTTAAGACCGTTGCATCATATGACGATATGAGGTTCTCACCGCTGTGGTTACGAACATTTCTGTCTTCTGCTCTACAACGTCCTGTATCCCGTTAAGCCCGCCGAAGTTTCGCAGAAAATATTTCGCCTGCGTTTTCTTGGTTTAAGGGTAAGCCAAGCAAGAAGCCGGTTCTGCACGCTAAGTACTTCAAGCAGGTTTCTTGTTTGGCTTACCATTCAAGCCTGAAGATTGAGGCATGCTCCTCCGAAACGTCGTCTGACTTTCCATGAACTACACGTCTTCATTTACAATGTACAAAATGCAGCATTTCCCGCTTTGTTCGAACAGACTGAAAATCTGATAACCTTTAAGAGCGTATTTTCCACCACGCGAAGAAGCGTCCACACACAGCTGCACTTGTTTTGAGTAGCCCCGTCACGGCCACATTAAGCGGCACTAGAGACAAGTTTCGCTGCAGCTACACGACATACAAGTAATCAGGCTATTACCAGCTACGTTCATGTAATCCCCTCCTCCCTTCCACTTCACCCGCCATGTGTAATACCGATAAGCAGGGAATACAGTATGTATACCTGTTTATGCATAGGTAATTCTTGGCACTACTGTAGGCGCCGGCGTGACTCCTACCAGCAAGAAGTTCATTTGTAAGCACGATAATTTCATCGTATTACGCAACACCAGTCGAGACAGATTTACTTTTGTTGCACTTAAATTTTTATGAGATTGTTTCATTAAGTATTTACTAATTTGCAAGGAACTTCAAATCTATAGACAAAATAAGGTCAGGTAATATCTGACATCACATCTCATGAATTCGAAGTTCTATTCATGAGACTGACATTACATTACTTTCTTAACTCACAGCAATGAACTGATAAAGAGTTACAGATAAGACAAGTTAGATTTGGAGAGTTATATTTTCTGGAATATAGCTCTGTGTAGTCCGTTGAAATTTAAACAAAGTTTCATACAACATTTCGCCCCCATCTTCAGGGCCGAAGAATAAGTTAAGCCAGTGTTTTAGGATTGGTAAGATGTGTTTGAGTGTGTGCGTTTTTCTGTGTTTGTGTACAGATAGAGGCCTTGCGACGAGCTGATGACCCACCCAAGGAATCCTACCGAATGTGTAAGATCTAGAAAAACCGAAGTGAACGGAGAAGTTCATGGAGGTAGGCGTAGGCCCACTGCGGCTGTAGTGCCAAGGAAAAAAAATGTGTTTGAAAACAATTGGCACAATCCTCTGAAATGATTATCAGAAGAAATATTATTAAATAATATTTTCATCAGAAAATTAGATAAAATTTAGAATCAAGCCAGGATGAGACATTTATCATACCTCTCTCTGAGGAGTATGAAAAATATTAAGTATACACGTGTTGAAGAAAGTCGTCTTCTGGGTTTAGACGCCGTGTATTCTTCGTTTTGGCCGACGTTTCGGAGGAACGTATCGCCTCCATCTTTAGAGCAGTTGAATGGCTTGGAATGCAGAGAGCAGTAGCTGTAGTTCCTCCGAAACGTCGGCCAAAACGAAGAATACACGGCGCCTAAACCCAGAAGACGACTTTCTTCATAGTCATCGACGTGAAAACCTCAAAACTTACATATACACGTGTTATTTCGAAAATATATCGCCCTTCAAATTTGTATTGAAATACAAACCTGAGGCAAGGAATTTTGTTTCGATACATCCTGTAGAACTCACCACGGACACAAGCAATCAGCACAACAGTGTTTCCAGATCCTTTATTCCGTTTATTTAATCGATCTTGCCTGAGAATTTTGTTTAACTTTGCACGACGATTCCTTGCACACACACAAAAGATTCGCAATCTATGTTTAATATATACCGTGAGAAGGGAAGAGCGCCTGCAGTGTATTACGGGGCTCTATAGTAAACCCCATGTTCAGATCCAATTATTCCAGTGTCGTAAGAAATTCTGAAGTAAGAGGTATACTAAGGAAAGCATACAATAAAAATATCTTAAAAATCTTAGGAGAGCTCTCGTCAGTAGTAACCAGTACGTGTGCAAAGCTATAAGATCCACAGCGCACGGTAAGTCACTTTCCAGATTCTAAATTGTTAAGTATTCGTATTATTTCTTCCACCCCTGGAAACATGCTAAGGAAAAATTCACCAAACCCAGGAATTCTGTATGCCATAGTGTCAAGAGTTAACGAACCAAAATACAAATATGTACTCACATTCACACCAAGTTCTCGAAGATTTTTGGAACTCCTGGCTCTGGTACCCCACTCGACACTGTAAACAATATGCACATTCTTACACGCAAATTACTTTCGAGTATGGAACTGATACTTAATACCAAGCAAATGCTTTAACAGTTACTGTTATTAAAAGAGACATAGAAGTCCAATATCTCATATTCGAAACAATTACTTTTTTCATGTTTCATTACTCCTATGAAAATCAAATAATTTTCCTTCAAGAACAACACTAACAGATTTTCCGTGGAAGCAACTATTAATTTATGCTTAAAAATGTTAGCGATGTGTGAAAATTGGTTCGACTGTAAACCGAAAGCTTTGCATCTGTTTGCACAAAAAGTTTTCAATCACAAAAATGCTCGAAGCGCATAAGAAGACGTGTGAATTCTGGTACAGTCCCAGCAACAAATTTTAATACATCGAAGCCTGGAACAGTACTGCAGGCAGAACTACATAATTAGCACTAACCACACACTTTTCCTCAAAGTAAAACTATCTTCTCGCAATTCGTGATAATGACAGGTTTTGAGGGCCCACACAAACTCGTACAGGAGCGATAATTATGACACAGCCTCGGAAATTCGAGATTTGTACTTACGAGATATAACTTTATTTTCAGTCGCCTGAATTACAGACTTTCATCCGTGTAACTATGCAACCACATAACACATAAGTGTGTATCTTTTAAGTTTGTTTGTACGCCACTTAACGACTTTATTTCAGTTTCAGCGTTTACGCAGCATCCAATGGGAGTTAAGAATATGACCGATCATGTATTGGGAATTATACAATATAGGATAAGAAGTTGTAGTGGCCTGTTGGTATTGTCCTGGGGTCCTCATAAAAGACCTAAGAAAAAACAAGAAAATCTTGAGGGCAGTTTGTGATCCATACGAGTTTTAAGCAGGGTGTCTCCGGAACACGATGCAGAAATGACAACTGGTTCAACGCCGTGACGTTCTGTCCAAGAACTGGGGAAGACGATACTCAACGTGAAACTGCAGGTTTAGACACTGCCTCCTGCACATGACGCAGACAAATCCATGTAAACTTGCTCATTCTTCCACCCGGTGCGGTTCTAGGTTTTGGATGCAAAAAAAAAGTGGAAGGTAAAAGCGAAAATGGTAAGATTGTCCTTGTGAATAATTAATTAAGCAGCAGGCCATGAAGACGTATAGGGGGGTGAAGGTACAGTTCCAACATTCTTCACCTCGGAAACAGACAGAGATGAGTAATCATCACGCCTAGGCCGCTTTATCCCTAGGGAAAGAACCGCCCCCCCCCCGGTACCCATTAAATAGGTGGGCCCCAGATCCTGTCTGGACATGGAGAACAGGGAAATATCTTGTCTCTAGCGGGTTTTCAACTCCGGTCGCCGAGCTCACAACCCGTCTTTATACCAAGTGAGCTACCTACCCCAACTCTCAAAAAGTGGAGTCGAATCAGACCGTAACAAGCAAGCGCAATATCCTTAGGCACATACACTTTTGGAATCTGGTGATTATCAACTAATCTTCGGATAAAATACAGTAAAAGTAATCTGGAAATATTGTGATGACCAGTCACGCGAACACGGGAGTAGGATCAACTCCTAAAGGTCCTGCGTATCAAATATGCCTGGTATTCCAAATGCTCAACATAAGACTGCTTACGTGTGCTGGCATATTTCGAAATCCACGTCTGTTGTGTTCCAAAGGAAATAAGACAAACAGAAAGGCGATCACATAAGCCAACATTCTTTTTTTTTTCTTCAAAATAATGAAAGTATACTAAAAACAAAAACTGTAGTGGTGATTGTGGCAACAGCGAAACGATAAGGTCTATTATAATTTCCATTATAGAACAGAATTCGGTTAAGAATCTCAAGTCGCGTTTTCATTCCAGTTGATCATATAACACACATTTCACTCGAAACATGAAACTTGTTTCTAAAGTTTACCTTTTACGGCAGTAGAGTAGCAGAAGGCATAGTGACCTTAGCAGATATTATGTTGATTCCGAACCCATGTGAAGCGGGGTTTGAGACGCACAGTATGGCGCCGCCAGTTGGAAACTTGGCGAGGGCACGCACATTTACCTCCATTCTTCATAACCGCCTGTCGATCTGCTCAGATACATAGATCCTTCTTGCCGGAATTCGTGGTTATGTCACAGACTGACTCAAGTACATCATATCGAGTTCTAAAAATTATACATTTTCCTTACTTGTATCTACATGCTCTGCCTCAGAATCAGAATAACTGATAGTAGTAATCCAAAAATGATCAGTGTAAGACATACTTGGCCAGAAGAAAAATCTTGAAGGAGAAATAAAATTTAAACATACGACAACGGCCTGATAGAATCAAGAATATTTCCTAGCAGATACGTACATGAGATTCAAGCCAAGTACTTAAAATTATACATCTTTAAGGTGAAACAGTTTCGTGTGCTACAAAAATCGCACAAACACCTAATTAAATCTTCAACCTTCTACTTAAAATATAAAGTACAACGTATATATTATTGTCGATTTATATTATTCATGTAGAACCGATTAAAACTTATAAATGAACACAAGAATTTGCGAAAAATAAATGCGAAGAGAGGATAAGGGTCAGTTTCATAGTCAAATTTGGACACCACTAGAAGTTTTCTTCGTTATTAGAAGCAGTTTTATCATTACCGGAAGCTACTTTCAGGATATTAATTTGATGTTCGCATCCTCTGTTGAATTTATACGGAAGTGACTGGACATCAAATTAGAGAGGAGCTCTCGTAGACACGGTTTACTCGGTTCTGGCAGAAGACTGAACGAGCCCTGAGGACAGTGTAAAGTTGGGAATAGGGTAGCCTGTTCATATTTATTGTTGGAACAGAAAGGGCAAAGCGTTATCTACAAATTGCAATCATGAAGCCAGAAGCAAAGCAGTGAAAAGGAGCGCGTCCTTCTAAATTAGAACCGAAATCAACCAATCCATTAGAATTACAATTACGTATATTTAATTACCTTACAGGTTACACAGATTTATATTATTAGGCATTCTGTATTTCAGCATCCCGTTGCACATCTTTAATTAAACGTCTATGTGTTTAGTCCGTCAATAATGCAACAATTATTAAAAAGTTCACCATTTAACACTAACACAACATGTTTCGGCCACAGATGGTCATCCTCAGGTATTTCAATGCGTTCAAACTGTTACACTGCTTTGATGCCCATTACGAGGTGAAATAGGATTTTACGAATCATTTTAATAGAAAATTTTTAATGAATTTGAAGTAATTATTTATGTTATTTTAAGTGGACTGCAACGCGCAATTTTAGCCAACTTAAAACCTGTCAAAGTGAGGGAGCTATATCTGTCTTGTAACAGAAGGAATTTGTTTCACAAAATTCTAGGAAAGTTTTATTTGTTTCTCATTTTAAAAATCATAAACCGTTGGCAGGTATCTTCAACTGCTGTTATATTCCTAGATAAGAGGATTACAAATATATGGGATTTTATATTTCAGCTGTTAACATTTTTAACCCCACTGTATTTGGAATGGAATTCAAAACTTTCGTTGAATTGTAAGGGTAGAAACATCATTTATAAAAGCCGTGTGTTCCATAACATTTTAACACGACATGTCTTCGCTGACTTGTCATTGAGTTATGCATCTCATGAATGTACCTGGCATTTCCATTATATATCGACAAGGCTAGGGTAGAGTGGGTAGTAACAGAGCCAACAACGGCCAAACCCTACGGCACTGCCGGGCCCGGTACAGAGAATTTCCGCGAAATATTACATGCATATCCCTCCATCAATCTATCTAGCCTGCTTCCCCCTTCTCCTCTCTGTTGGCATAAATCAACAAACTTGTCATATAAATTAAAAAACCCAACCACCTAAACAGTTACCTTCACATCGGTCTAGGATACAAGCAGGAATGCAGATCAGTACGCACTTTTGAGTTAACGAGGGCAAATTTCTGCATAGAAACCAAGCGCAAGCAATCGAACACGAGATTTGACGAAAACGAAGCAGAGTTTGTAGCCAGCGAATCTTAACGTTCGATGGCAGAAGGTCTTTATCGTGTTTTGCAGTTCCTCGTTATGAATCACAAAGATTTTATCAAAGATTTCAGGTTTTCACGGCGGTGACTATGAAGAATGCCGTCTTCTGGGTTATGACCCGTGTAGATAATTTGTTAACCGACGTTTAGGAGGAACACATCGTCTCCATCTTCAGGGCAGAGAAATCCGAGAGCGCTGAGCCAGCTTGAGCAGGTGGCTGCATTCAAATATTCAAGATAAAATATCTTACTGGTATTATTATAGGTCAAAAAGCTTATGACAGTAACCAAAACATTCTTAGTATTATATTATATATATTTGATATACTTCAAGAATACCAATTCTTCGCCCCAGATATGGCCGCTTTCCTTAGCGGTATCACGATGCATACCACATGAGTCATTCTGAATTATTACTTGGCTCATTTTTCGACCCTGAGAGTGGAGGCGATATATTCCTCCGAAACAGTGTTTACTGGGCCCAAATTCGAATTCGAAATCTCTTGGACGTGAAGGAGAATTAACGGCAACACAGTGGCGTTCGGTAACATTTGTCTTCATGTTTTATTTCTGAGTCTATTCAGGAACAAAACATGATGGAGAACAAGGGCTGGAGTCGAGATTACGTACCCACAGAATGTAATGTATAACGGTATCATGCTGAGTAGTGCAGAACTGAGAGTGGGGCAAGTGGAGTTAACGGCATTTCTCAGCTCTGAATAATAGAATAAGAAAAAGGGGCAAAAAAAAAAAAATAAATAGAAACAAATGATGTCTGTCACTGAATAGAACTCGTGGTCCGTATTCGGGAGTCCAAGAATTCAAATATACTACTGACTGCCAACTATCGTGATGGATCATTCGTGTTAATTATCAGTTCTTATCTGACACATTTATTCTGGTAGTTACAATAGGATTCTGACGATGGTGTATAACACACTGATATATTGGGTTTTTGGACTTTATCCATCGTCCTGGTTTTTAAGATAACTA